CCGGGTGAAAGTCACACACGCTAACCGGTCAGCCAAACGGAGGTCTTCCTTGTACGACTAGCCAGGGTGGATGATCAATCGGGTCACGGTGACAGGACACACACACTGTCACAGATGCATGACATTCTGTCTCAATCTGTCCCCCTGCTGATATTCTGCATTCCGTATTCTGAGCTTCAGGTTGTGTGTGTGTGTGTGTGACCTTTATTTCCTGTAAATTGACTTGATTTGGGACTTGCATGTCTTGGGCTTGAATTGGAGTTTGTATGTCCTGTAAATTGACTTGGCTTGCATCTTAAATGTCCTCTGAATAGACTTGATTTGAGACTTGACTATCTTGGAACCTAACTGAAGATTTGAATGGAAAAACTTGATACCTTCTCGTGACTTGCGAAACAATGACTTGGTCTGTACGCTGCTGTAAACTGATTATTGCTTCAAAAAGCCTGATTCATACGTCTCTATCAGCTCCACAAGGGAGAGACGCACACGCACTGACAGAGACGTTTTCCTCTCAGACTTCTCCGTCACCTGGGGGGTGTTGCAAAGCAATCCCCCACCAGGACAACAGAGGGCGTAGCGCTTTTTTGTGGTATCATGCCACCATTACACTCATGTATCTGGTCCACCTTAGTGTATTTACTATTGCCACCCTGTGTGAACATGCCGAGAGCCCTTGCCCTGACCTATAGTTGTGTAGAGTTGTTCTGAACCCAAGCAAACATAGGAGTATAAATCAGCCTTAAAAAGTGAAACACACTTATGACTAAAAACTGGATGTAGATGTTGAAGTGTAGATGTTCTTATTGCAGTGTTTCCCTTACATAGGCCTCTCAGGCTCTAAATAAGTTTTGATAAAAGGACAAACAACTAAGTCCTTCAGGGGTACTTCTGAGTTAAAAAACTCTCATGAAATACGTATGTGGAGTAACCAGGTAGGTAGGTTTTAACTGTTGCACACCTGCAACGCCTGCCTCCAGAGGGTTAATCATCCGATCAAAGCTAACCTGCCTCTGATAAAGAAGCTCATGAGGTTTGTTGTCTGATTGGTGTGTGTGTGTGTGTGTGTGTGTGTGTGTGTGTGTGTGTGTGTGTGTGTGTGTGTGTGTGTGTGTGTGTGTGTGTGTGTGTGTGTGTGTGTGTGTGTGTGTGTGTGTGTGTGTGTGTGTGTGTGTTTGTGTGTGTGTGTGTGAGATAACCAGTGACCAGAACGGGGATTCACTTCACAAATGTTGTAATCTTACTTATGCCCCTTCATGTTTGCAGCAGTTAACACTGTAAACCCCCCCCCCCCCCACCCCCCCCACCCCCCACCCCACACACACACACACACACACACACAACCCCACCCCCACACACGCAGGTCACTCCTAAAGTCTAAATATAAAAGGGTGTGTCAGATCTGTGTGTGTGTGTGTTTCAGCAACACAGAAAGGGCTTTCTTATGTGGCTCCATACTGCCTGGGGTGACCTCACCCTGTCTGGACACCCCACTGTAACCCAACACACACACACGCACACACACACGCACGCACACACGCACGCACACACACACACACACACACACACACACACACACACACACACACACACACACACACACACACACACACACACACACACACACACACACAGGCACACACACAGGCACATGCACCATGCTGTACAGTCTTGTAGGCCAGAGTGAAGTGAAGCATGTCTTTCGGACTGACTCCGAGAACAGCTGAGATAAATGATATTTTTATTTTTGTTCAAGGAAGAAAACCTCCTTTTAGCAACAGGTAAAATGCACAAGGAACCAGATCCTCTACAGTTTAGTTTTAGAGTTGTTTTAGTTCTTTGCATGAAAAGAAAGAAAGTGTGTTTGGAACTGTTATGCATCTCACTAACCAGATTTGTGTATGTGTGTATTATTAATATCTGCTTGTTACATGAATTAATCTTCATCTTGTTGTGAAGGACAGCGAGGCTCTGACCCTGCAGTATTTGCTTACTGGAGTATGTTCACTCAGTTTTTGACATTTCATGTTTTAAAGTTTTCTTAACAAAGGAGATAATCGAGGTTTGTACGCGTCACACTGGGAGAAGTCGCTGTATAAAATGTTGACAGCGCCTCATGTCCTGCTGTACGATGCAAGATTTAGTGGATGCCGGGTAAATTCTTCGGTCAGTCCAACAATGAGTGGAATGCGTTAATGCTCTAAAAGGAGGAGGCAGCTGTGATCAAGCTCTTGGCGAGGGAAAAGAAGCCGGTTGCATCTGTCACTGCAGAACTTCTCTAGAACTTCTCCGTTCAGATCGGGCCAGACAGGAAGTCAAACACGAGCAACTTTCAAGAAACACATGCAGCTTTTCGGTTGCATAGCTCATAAAAGAAAAGTAATTACCTGTGAAACCTCCATAGCCAAAATAAACGATACAGAAAATAAATAACAGAGCTTTTTGGATAAACGCTGCCAGATTTCTCATTGCTTGTTATCGCGTGAACTGGTGAAATCAGGCGTGGCCTCGTGGGACTAACTGTGTGGAACGTTTTCACTGGCGTTTGACACTGTCTCTGTGGAAAGAGTCTTGCTGCTAATGCATCCCGTGGAAAGGCTGGGTTAGCAGTCGAAGAAGGTCCTGACCTATGTGGACTTGATAGGCTGGGTCCTTACAAGGATGCTGCCCCTAAACTTGGACACAGGTTTTGTCTAAGACAGTTAAAAGTTGCACGGTACGACCCCGACTTTAGTCCGACGACCATGTCTGGTCCAAAGATGATTAAACTGACTTATTTGAATATTGGTTATGACCTTTGGAAACTTGGCCCTTTTTATTTTCTTCTGTAAAAGCACGACTTCCAGCTCCAGCAGCTTCCTCCTGTGTGAAGAAATGAGCCTTGGTTCATAACTTCAACAGAAGCATACGTCTGCTGGCTCAGTCCTTTCACAGTCCTCTTACTATCGCACTAATTATGTTCCACATGTCGGCTTTATGGTTGACTTTGGTTAACTACAGGTGTGTGTGTGTGTTTGACAAATTACAGCTTGTTTCCCCTCAGGTCGTCTCCTCCCATGATTCTTTGTTCTTCGCTACTTCCTATTTCTCACCGTCTGCTTCCATTCTTTTGACATCTTCAACCTTTATTTTCATTCTTTCCCTTTGAGTCTTATTTTTTTATAATTAGATGTGGAATTGTGAGATATTTCCATGTTTCCTTGCTTTGTCCTTTCCTGACTCCGTTTTTGTTTCTTTGGGAAAAGTGTGGATTATTGGTCAAAGTTAAAGCTACATTTGTGGTCTCAGCAAGGCCAAAAACCCAACAGTATGTTTGTTATCATCGGCCAGTACAGTTTGTTTAACCAGTCCTACATCGTTTAGATTGCTGGATAATGAAAAGTCATTTTCTTTTTGTGTGTGTGTGTGTGTTTCGTTTTTACTCGTTTGCTACTTAGTAATGCAGTTACACTGCTGATCTGTGTTAAAACATAGCTATGACTAATAATTGGCTACCTTGTGCTAGCATGTGCTAGTAAGGCTAGCATCTTTCTGTAGCTGGTAAGTTTATTTAATCACCGTGTTAATCACACACTTACTGTTATGTTAACATGCTAAAGCTAAATTAGCATTATTAGCTCTATTTTTAAGAATACACAATGAAGTGATCAGGCTCGGGGTGTGTTGCCTCTTAAATGGTCTGGGTGGAAACAGCTCTCTGATCACAATCTTTCCATTAGATTGGATTTGACCGGTCTATGCCCTCTCACTTCATTATTTTATCTTGTCCGCCCTCAAATAGAATAAATTAGATTCAATTGTTTACAGACACATTTTAAGTGTTGTGATAAATAGTGAATATTCAGTTTAACAGAAAGGCTTTTCTTTTATTGTGTTATTTGAATATGTCAATGTTTATGAAAGTTTTTCTTTTGATTAATTAAGGTTTCATAATACATAAAATAAAATGGTGCTTTTTGGGTCAAAACCAGCTCAGTGGCCTAGTGGTAGAGTACTGGGAGATCAGGGTTCGATTCTTGGATGGGTCAGACCAAAGTCTTTGAGAAAATGGGACCCAATGCCTCCCTGCTTGACACTCAGCATTAAGGGGTTGGATTGGGGGGTTAAACCACCAAATGGTTCCCGAGCGCAGCTGTGTCTGCAGCTCACCGCTCCCCCAGGGGATGGGTCAAATACGGAGAACACATTTCACACACACATAAGTGTGTGTGACAACTGGTGGGACTTTTTAATGATTATAAAAAATATGGGATTCAGAAAATAAAAAAAGGAAAAAAAAATTATGTTGTGCAGTCAGTTGTCATCAGAGCAGCTGGAAAATTAATGTGAAACTATGTTTTGAATATTGAAATCGTTCAATACAGGGAAAAAAATCTGGATTTTTTTTTTCACATTGTCTTGATCAGAGCACAGACTCTTATCATTTTAAATAAGTTGTGTAAAAATTCACCTTCCTGTTTTGTTGTTGGTATTGTCGTCGGCCCGTTCAGTAATCATAATGGTTAGCCCCGCCCATCATTGCGTTTTTGTCCTTCAGACTTCTTTCATCCCCTCATCTCTTTGTGTATAGTTTACACCACACTGAGCCACAGAGCCGCCATGTTTTCTCTTCTTTGTCGCCTCAAAAACACCCTGAAACATCCCAGCAATGCTCGAACAGCACAGTCTTCACCACTGTGTGATATGCAGCCACCACAGTGTCAAACAGACACACACACAGTTTATTACAGAGGAATGTGATGGTTTTGTGGGAAGTTTGGTTCAGCCTGTTTTGGAGATGCTCTTTAGGGCACAGTTGTCATGGACCCGGAGACAATTTAGCAAAAATGTCCCTCAAAATGGGTTTTAAAGGACTGGTCGTCTTGGCAGCAAGACGGTGTCCTTAAAAGACTGTTTTATTTTAACGATGAGCTTCTCCTTCCTTTTTCTTTTCTGAATGTTGCCTTGTTAGCTTTCCAACTGTTTCCCTCGTCTCAACCGCATCACGTGTTTGTCTTCAGATCGAGGACGGAGGGAAGGCTGCTCACTGCAAGAGGCTGAAAGTTGGAGATGAGCTCATCAACATCAACGGATCGGCCCTTTACGGCAGCCGACAGGAAGCTCTCATCCTCATCAAGGGCTCGTATCGGATACTGAAACTCACAATCAGGAGGTAAGCACACACTGGAGTTAACAGTGATTCTTTTAAATTATTGGCATTTGTATTATTAAAAAGCTACACGTAGTGCGTCTGACATTCTGTTTAAACATTTTGTGGACATGTCAAAGTTAATTCATGTAAAGTTTGTGTAATAGTACAACAGTAGTAGAGGGAGAGCCACTTAAACCTCCAACACTGTTCCACTACATCAGACCTAAACATAAATGATAAATAAATGAGCATTTTCTTTTAGTTCTGCTCAAGGATTTTTGTCTGAAGTTTAGATATTTAATGCCATTAAATCAAAGATATCCTTAAAATGAGCTGTGTCAAAAAATCACATCACAGATTTTTTTATTCTAAGCATTTTAATTCATGTAATAGGGAGCCTATTTCACGCCCGTCTACTTCCGGTAGACGGGTCCCCGGAAGAACGAAAAAATGAACGCAAGTCAACAGGGCTAAAAATGCTATTTTCTAAGCCCGCTTGTTTTGTGGCTTGGATTTCACACATGATGTTTGTGAATTTTAAAGAAGCATTTTGATACCAAGAAAGGTCTTATTTTCAAACAGGAGGAAATGCTATTTTAGGTTTTGTGTGAAAATAAGTCCAAATGTACAAATATGCTTCACGAAAGTGAAGTTATCGAACCAGACATGGAGAAAACTGAGGGAAAAGGGCTGGAAGTTCAGCAAACTTCCCACAGGAGGAAAGAACCACCATAAATCTGGTCATTTGGTAAGTAGCAGCTACGCTAGGGGAGATTCTGTGGTGACGTCACATTTGCGACGTGTCGATTTCTAGTTTGTAGTCATGCAAATTACGAACTTTTACAAGCTGATAAATCTCAACGTACGTAACAGGTGTGGTGGAAACACCCATCATTACTTTTCATTTAAATTGCAGTACAACATATGTGTGATCCAGGGCCTAAGGCAAAGCGGATTAGAAAATAGCATTTTTAGCCGCGTTGACTTGAATTTATTTTTTCGTTCTTCCAGGGACCCATGAACCGCCTGGAAAGGGAGGAGACTTGGACTCCCTATAAATAAATTACTATACATGTCTTTTATTTTGAAAGTTTGTGTGTTTTTCACTGCTCTCGTGTTTGACTTCCTGTTTGGCCCGATCCAAAGTCCTGTGTTTGAAGCATTCTGCAAGCATAACGCATAAAATAACAGCCAAAGCATAAATGTTGCGTACATTTCAGCAAAAGCATAAAACATTCAAATCAACATGACAATATCAAACAGTGGATTATAAAATTTTATGAAAAATGTAAAATAATATTGAAATTTACACTTGCACCTTGTTTCTGGGATGTGCCTGTGACACGCTGCTTTGCAACCAGTGGAAACACACATCCACTTTACCACGTACCACACATGATACCACACGATACACATGACGCTTACTCACCCAGTGGAAAGTGGAAAACGAGATGGTCTTTGCCATTTTAAGAGTAAATGCAATTGGAAAACTCACTTTCAAGACTTTCCAGTGTAATCACAAAATCTCGTTCCGTCGTTTTGAAGGCGGTAAAAGATGCTGCCACCTAGCCATCAGTGCTGGAATTGCATCACAAAAAATAAACAGTAAATGTTTATTGTTTAATGTGTGTAAATTCTTCATGAAAAGTTGGTACACTGCTTTTAAGAATCACTTCAGTATCATAACATGATACTGATATACTCCTGTATACCAACGTTTTCTTTCACCCCTACAAAATATGCTTTTCTTGTTTTTGCTTTATTGGGTTAACAAGATCAGCCTGAATGTGAGAAAGTGAACCTGTATTTTCCTTTTCTTCACATTTTAAAGCATCATCAGTATTTTTGGCCCCAGAAGCAAAGCTAACAGCAGGAACATTTCCATTCTCTGAAATAAATTCCAGTTGGCATCTTAACATTTAATTAGAGGATGTGGGTTAAAACCCCGTAGACCATCTGAGGTCACTTAACAGCATTTCCATGTTTAAACTCTAAAGTTTAGATTGTAATGAGCTACACTGTAAAATATATTCATTTGCCTTTTTTTAAACAACAAAAACATTCCATAAATATCCTTTAAAAAGTAGAGAGTAGCATCTAAATGAGTTTAAAAGTGCATTTGAGGTCAAATATGTGCAGATTCAGCTGAGAGGTTCAAATACTTTGAAAGAAACTTTACACTGATGCTAGAAAATAAGTTGTTTTAGTGAAAATTTAAAGAAAAGTGGGACAGAAAGGGTAAGAAATAATGAAAGAATTATGTCAGATGTTATGTCCTGATATACTTTAAAGGAGTGGAAAACTGAAACAAAAAGTTTTTAATTGTTATTTCTGATTATAATCAGTCACTCTGGGTACACATGCAGTCTGAACATGAAAATAGTCTCCTACACCTATCTTCTGCATTAGCTTCTAATAGAAAATAGACGGTGAATCTCTAGGATGCGAAAATCCTGACAGATCTACGTCACGCTGTCACTTAACATTCATGGACTCACCCATCTTGACTCGATGGGGAAGGCTGTTGGTTTAGCGTCTAGGAAACGGCAGAGAACGTCTTGGCTAGTAGAAGCCAAGCATTAGCAACTACACCACACAGCAAAACTCCTCCAGGCTTGTGTTATTTGTGGAGATTAAACATCAGCATTGCAGAGCAAACAGCAAATTAGATATGAGATGTCCAAATATCCGTAAATGGACCATTTTAGGAAATAAGACTCATAATCCTGTTGTCTGAAGCTCTCCTTTGACCTGGCAATCTTAAAGAACCTGAAACAGGTGCACCTGGGACTTTTGTACCGAATGTGACTTACAAGTCATTCATTCCTGCTATAGTGACCACAGCAAATGAATGAAACGAGTGAACCACATATTTAAACTGGACCTAAAAAGCATTGTTCTGAGTATGAAATAGCTCAGACCCTTGAAACATACAGTCCAGGTACCATCTTTAATCATTCTAAAATCACTCTGAATATGGTTTTTGTCTCAATTCTTAAACAACGTTAGCCTGGCAAGCCAGACTAAATAAATGTATTATTTAGTCTGGCAACGCTCCATTGACGGCTCTCGGTTGTGGGGCGGGTTCTACCGTTGTCTTTCAAATGATCTCCGCATTCCACTGGACAATGAATGTGACGTACTCTTGTTTCACTCTGTTGCATCATCTCACCCACCAGGCATATAAAGTGCCCTGATTGGCCCACAAAGCGGATAAAGCTCTGTGATTTGTTCACTAAGCAGATAGAGCACTATGATTGGCCCACCATTATGGACCAATCACAGCTCTTTATGTGTTTGAAACCCCTCTAGAGAGCTGTGATTGGCCAGCCAGAATGCTGTTGGGGCTGCAGCGGTTCCAGTGGAGCATTCCTCGACCAGACTTTGCAAAGCAAGAATTTGGTCTAGTTCACTAGGCTAAAATAACGTTTGATGTTGCTCTGCAAATATTGCTGGCTTACTTTATTTGAAGTATATAGTGTAGTTTGTGGTTTTGGATCAAGTTTTCTTTGCTGAAAGATTTGCAGAGGTCCTCCAAGTCCTTGACATTTTGTTAAACCAAGCAGCCCTTTGTCCTATGTACTGTTGGTCTTTGTGTGAAAGGAAGCACATGTTCAGTAATGTTTTCATTCATCTTTTTGAACAAGAAATGAAAACCTGAAATCTTTTGTCTATGTGTGTGTGTTTTTTGTCGGCCTCTGTTGCGCTGACATTGATCCTCTCCATCTTGATTGGAGCCTGCAGCCATTGTGGAAGTTTTTATGAGTTTCACAACCATTAGCTTGTCATCTTGGACAGCTTCAGACAGCTGTTTGGCAGAGATGCATCTTGTTCCTGTGTGGAAACCAGGTCAGGCGTCCAGCTCTCAGAGCCTAGCGGGGGTTTCCTGCAGCAGGCGGACCCGTCTCCAGAGCTGTGTGTACGGTGCAATTACACAGATTCACACAGATAGAGCTCAGCCTTAGGAATGCTACGGGTTATGATGGGAATCTCACCCTGGTAATTCTCTCTGTGTGTGTCAGTGTCTGGTATGGGTCAAGTGTCCGACTTTTAAGGGGATTTCCTACTCGGTGTTTGGTCAGAGTTATCGCATACAAGAAACATTTCAGTGCAGTTGAGCAATGACAGAAGTTATTTTTGAGATACTCTCATAGTGGACAAACGTGTGCTTTGACAGCTTAATTCTTTTAAAGTTAGATCTTCTTACATAAATCAAAAATGTTCAGATTCGTTGATGCTCTGATGTGACCACCATGTTACTGTTTCCAATCCAGACTTTTCTTAGTAAAAAGATATACTTGCTTTCTTCTTGCATCTCTGACAGCTCAAGAGTAATCTGTACCAAGTCGAAAGCAACATGAGCATAACCAATAGCAAAGAAGGAGAGAGTTGCACATTTTCTAGCTGTCAATGTTTTGAGTTTGTATCAGGTAAAGATGATAATTTTAAAGAGATATTCAACCTCAAAGCAAAAATGTTTTTTTTTCTTGCCATATTTCCCAGAGTTCGATAAGTGGGAAAAAGCACTTTGTGACCAGCCCAGTTATTATTCTAATCTGGCAGTATTCTGTTTGTTTTAGCTTAGCATAAACAATGTAAGTGAATGGTAACCGCTAGCATTTCATATGAAAAAGCCAAGAAAATTACTCAGTAGGGCCGGGCAATAAATAAAAAAAAAAAGTGTTGTTATTGAAATTTCTGACTCTTGTCGAGATAATTGTCCTCATGTCAATACATTTGATAATAAAAAAATTAAAAGATGAGTTTAAATTATTCCTGTGACAAAGAAGATACTGGGGGGGCGGGTCCGACTTGATAGTTTCACTGTCTATTTCCTTTCTGCGGGAAATACAGGTAATGTGGTTTGAAGCAAAGTTTTACATTTAAAATGCATGTCCAACTCAGAATGAGCAATCATATTTCAAAAGAACAAGTACTACACTGTTTCTCAGTGAATAAGACCTTCAAAGTAGGCTGCAGACTCTGTGTTATCTAGCTTCAGAAACACTACAGCAAGTTTA